CTGCCTAAAATTTATCTACAGCAATGCTGGTGAATTGCTTATTCTGTTGGTATTGAACATCAACGAACTCTTACTGCTGTGCAAATTCGTGACATTACTCGTAGAAAGTTGAGAGCTGAAGCAACTATGGTGCATCAAACTGATGTATCTCCTGCTTCAGGAGTTGTTAATCGCAGATATCCACTTAGGTTCCTTCATAATATGGGCGGGACAACATCAGAGCAATCAGACCAGCAGTCTCGTGAAGCAACAGGTGCATCAGGTCTGTCTCAGGGCGAGTGCACTTCATTGGCACTTGAAACAACCAATGAGCAAGGAGCATATGCTAGGGAAGAGTTTGATAGAGTGAAGGTGAAGAGGGAAATTAAGCCGACTATACATGATTTTAGTGTGCAAAAAGGCAGCACAGCTAGTTCCTGGTTTTGTTGAAGCCAAGCTTGAAAAGTTTTTTGAGGCATTTGAAAACCAGGTTCGAGCATTAAGGTGGCCTGAGGTGCATACAGCATTGTATGATAAGGCACAAGAGTTTACATGTGTTGGAGAATGATGATTTTGTAAGCTATCAGGTGGTGAAAACCACGGTTCATGGGGCTTATCAGTGTATTCCCGCCAAATACAGGAGTGAATTCAAATTGGGCAAGCGTCAGCTGGGTCAGTCTCATGTAAACTTTGTACGGCAGCAGTCGAAAGCCTTCACTAAATGGTAAAAGGCAAGTGTTGTCGTTAATTTCTTGGACCTCATTCAATTGCTCTGCATTATTCACTCATCACCCTTATCTCATATCTGAAATTTGTGGATGGGGATCAACATAAAATCACCTAAGACCACTAATAACCCAGCAAAAGTTTGCAGTCAGAATAAAAAATTCCCACTCCCAACAGCATATTCTTTCAGTATTCAAAAGTCTAAATCTGCTAACCATAAAGAACATCCATACTTATTCATGTGCCTACTACATACATAGAACACTGCACTCAAACATAAACCCTCCACTCAAACTTCTCCTCATCAACCTTAACAGGATAGAGATCTCTTTTTGATATACCCCGTGTCCATATCACACTGTTTAAAAGCTCTATGCACATAAAGGGTCCCAAAAATTGGAATTCATTAACAGAAAATACTAAAGTAACCCGGCCTGAAAATTAACTTAAGACTCTCCTCAAAAGCCACTTACTCACCCTAGACTAAATACTCAATACTACCAAAAAATCTCCCAATTACCTAAATCTTAGAACTTCAAGTCTAGATGCCCAAGTTCATACATTGACTAACGGTACACAGTAGTATAAATACCTACCCAAAACAGTACTGCTCTACACCCAATTGTAACATTCTCATACCGTAAACTAGTTTCAGCAGATCACAATGTTATATTCCCATAATATAATTTAAATATTTAGTACTGAAACTATTGTACAACTTAACCCTCAAACTGTCCAAACGTAGATATACGTTCACCTGCGTAGTGCACCGAATATTTTGAAAAAAAAAAAAAAAAAAAAAAAAATTAAATATAGAGCGCATTTTTATAAATGTTATAGGATAAAAAAAAAGTTTTAGTGCCAGTACTTACCGAGATATAAGCCCATGAAGTTGGTACTAAATGCTAAGGCGTCGGCAACATGGAACATTGCCGCTTGCAGAAGTAATATACATTTATCGTTTATTCCAATTCTTTTCAATTTTTTGTTGTTTTCATGTTTTAATAATGTTTTCTTACAGATCTTTTGATTTCATAGCCAATTCTTGTTGAGAGACAAATGTTTGGTACTGAATTAGTAATCATACTGTCATAAACACACATGTTCACACTGATAAATGAATTTGTTCACCTGGTTCAATCACATACTATGTTTCTAGAAGTCCACCACTGTATGATACTTGAGGAGCATGGATTCATACAGAGTGCCACCACACATTGCTGACACATGTATCGTGTATCTTTTCGCACTCGGGGTCGCTGTGTAGTGTAAGCACACACAAGACTTTCTGAGAGTACTTCTTCTTTTGAGTAGATGGTAATGGTATCAGGCAGTGACAGTCGGGGATTATACTGTTGGGCAATTCCCCCTCTACATAGTGCCTCTGACACGATCACCGCCAGGATCTCACCTTCAAGAACCACAACACTGTATCAGCTGCATCTGCTAGGAAAATGACAGGATGGATAATGAGAACCTTCAAAACTAGGGATGCCAAGCCCATGATGACACTCTTCAGGTCGCTTGTTCTATCTAGGCTGGAATATTGCTGCACACTAACAGCACCTTTCAAGGCAGGTGAAATTGCTGACTTAGAAAATGTACAGAGAACCTTCACGGCGCGCATAACTGCAATAAAACACCTCAATTACTGGGAATGCTTGAAGTTCCTAAACCTGTACTCCCTAGAACGCAGGAGGGAGAGTCACATAATCATATACACTTTGAAAATCCTAGAGGGATTAGTACCAATCTTGCACACGAAAATCACTACGAAAGCAAAGACTCGGCAGAAGATGCAACATCCTCCCAATGAAAAGCAGGGGTGTCACCAGCACGATAACAGAGAAGACAGTGTCAGGGGCCCAAGACTGTTCAACTGCCTCCCAGCATACATAAAGGGGATTAGCAATAGACCCCTGGCTCTGTTCAAGTAGGCGCTGAACATGCATCTAAAGTCAGTGGCTGATCAGCCGGGCTGTGGTTCTTACATTGGATTGCATGTGGCCAGCAGTAACAGCCTGGTTGATCAGGTCCTGATCCGCCATGAGGCCTGCTCACAGACCGGGCCGCAGGGACGTTGACCCCTGAAACTCTCTCCAGGTATACTCCAGGTATTACCAATTAAAATACTTACCTTATATTGACTTAAATGTTTATTATGTTTATTAATATGTTTATTAATATTATTTGTAGATGAATGGTTCAGAGAACCGACATGTTGATAAATTAGACACATGTGCAACTCTTGGGTATCTTTATTGAGGAAACGTTTCGCCACACAGTGGCTTCATCAGTCCATACGTAGGAGAAACTTGAAGAACAGGAGGAGAATGAGGTAATCAGTCCCTCAACCTTGAGTCGATGTGGTCAGTCCATCAATCTTGAATAGATTGAATAGATTGGACTGACCACATCGACTCAAGGTTGAGGGACTGATTACCTTATTCTCCTCCTGTTCTTCAAGATTCTCCTTTGTATGGACTGATGAAGCCACTGTGTGGCGAAACGTTTCCTCAATAAAGATACCCAAGAGTTGCACATGTGTCTAATTTATCAACATTAATATTATTAATATGTATAGAGGCTGCATAAGTTCACCAGACATATTTTATTATGTCTGCAGGCAATTCACACCTTCAGATTCCCGGAGCAACATTACTCCTTTCCTGAAGTGCTGCTGCTTTGCTTATTTTGGCTGCAAACTTGCAGACCAGGACAAACCATTTGCACCACGCAAAGCTTGCATCAGTAAGCTCTAAATGTGGTCAGTTGGAAAACTTAGTACCATTGGTATGGCGGGAGCAGATGAACCACCATGATGATTGGTACTTCTTAGTATGACATAAAGTATGTCTGGATTCAACACAGAAGACAAGATCTCATAGACATACCCTATAACCTTCAGCAATAATGTCTGTTCCACACACTGGAAGATATTCCGTACCTGTGCCACCTAGATATGCGAAATTTCATCGAGTCTATACCAGTGATTCTAAGGATGACAGTAGACTAGAAACACAATAAATGATGATCCAAACTCTTCAAACTAACGTTGAACTCAAGTGACTTGGTGTGAGACCTTAACTCCAAAAGAAAGTGCACAGTTCACTTGGCTCTAGACTGAGGAACACAGGCTTCTAGCTTAACATTAAAATTGGTATTTAAATATACGAACAGGTTGTTAGGTAGAACTTATGGCAACAGTTGGTATCTTTATTATGAAACGTTCTTCGCCTACACAGTAGGTTGCTTCAGTCGTATACAGAAAAGTTGATAGAAGCTAGAAATACTTGAAGACGATGTAATCAGTCCATTCACCCTTAAGTTTTGAGGGTGGTCAGTCCCTCAGTCTGGAGAAGAGCAATTTTCTGTACTTGACTGAAGAAGCCTACTGTGTAGGCGAAACGTTTCATAATAAAGATACCTAACTGTTGCATATGTGTCTTACCTAACAGGCTTCTAGCTCCTGGAACAACATTCGTTTGGTACTGTCATAATGAAGTGGAATTCACCCAGTTCTTTGACAAAGACGAATCTTTAGTTTTCTGCTCAAATATTTCTGGCCTTATTGAAGACATGGGTGTCATGCAGAGCAGATAAATGGAGACTACTTCACTGATTCTTCTAAAAGAAGTTTAAGGGGCCGACGAATGAAATATAAGTGATAAAAATAATTGAAATTAAAAAATTATGGAAAAACATGTTTGCTTACCAAAAAATAGTGCATAATTCTGGCAACATGTTGATGCAATCAGCTTGTTTCTATCATATTTCTAAGTGTGTTTGTCTAAAATTTTTATTTTTTTTGTTCCTGCTGTCATCAAGAAGACATGATGCCATTTTTTTTTATTACTCCAAAAATTACGATTTTTATGATTGTTTCTATCCAAATGTACTAGTTGGCACCTTCTGAGTCGACTACTGACCACACACACCACTAGAACCCCGGTGGCCCGAGGGTCGCCGATGACAGATGTGGTGTACCAGGCATTTGGCAGCGGTAACCGCGGTAACCATCAAGTTTCACACATTAAAAAAAAATAAAGTTGATCTCAGGAATAAGTTATTGGCGTTTGTAGCCACAATTATCAATAACTGCTGGACGGATTGTCATGATTTTTGGACAGCTTATTGAGGAATGATGGTTATGCAGAAATACACAAAGGAACTGCGATATTCCTTACCATCTTCTTTTTATTGATTACCCCCCCACCCAAAAAAAAAAACACTAACTTGAAATTTTTTTTATGCAGTCTACTGACATTTTCAAGATGTGTAATTATATTATTTATGTCTTTATCTTTCATATCATGTCTTACAAATTTTTTTGTAGCGGGAAAGTTTAAACTCTAAAGAATTACAACACAGTTTATTTTTTCCTATCTAACTTTAAGGAAAAAGTCACTAAAAACACAGTGTGTAGGTTTCAACTGCTGCTCAATTCACAGTAAAAAATTAAATTGAAATTAGACAAAAGGAAAAAAAAAAAAACGTTCATCACCCCCTTAAAGGCTGTACTTCTCAACAATGGCAACAGTTGCATCTGTGCTAATTGGCCATAATGTCCAAATGCCAGAAACTTAGGTAAATATGAAGACACTAATATTCTGCAATCAAATACTAAAAGAATCACAATTTTCTCATTTGTGGTAATTTCAAAATTATTGCTGTCCTACTAAGTCTTCAAGGCGGATACACCAAGTATCCCTGTTTCTGTGTCTTTGGGATAGTAGGGCAGACAACCAGCACTATGAGCAAAAAGACTGGCCACCAAGAACCAACTTCTTACCGGGAAATCACAACCCAAGAAAATTCTGCTGCCACCACTCCATATCAAATTAGGACTTATGACAAATTTTGTGAAGGCCTTGAACAAGAATGGAACTGCTTTCAAGTACGTGAAGGCAAAGTTTCCTCGTATTAGTGAAGGCAAACTAAAGGCAGGAATCTTTGTCGACTCTCATATTCGAGAATTGATGAAGGACAAGCATTTTGATGAAGCATTAACAGGTGTCGAGGTGAATGCCTAGTTTTCTTTCAAGCAGATTGTCCACAACTTCCTGGGAAACACACGCTCCCCAAGTATGAAAATATGATCCAAGACCTGATTTCAAGTTTCCAACAACTTTTGTCTAGAATGAGTGTGAAGATGTAATTTTTGCACTCATATCTTGTCTATTTTCCCAACAATTGTGAGGACTACAGTGAGGAACAAAGAGAGCAGTTCCATCAGGATATTTGCACCATGGAAACTCGATACCAGGGCAAATGGAACGTCAGCATAATGGCGGATTACTGCTGGTCTCCTCCTTCCTTTGATTCAATATGTTTTTAATAAAATGATTTGATTCACGTTGATTTGTAATTCATATGTTCTTGTAACTAACAAAATGTGCTTTATCATAATTACTTGACTACTTTTAATAAATTAACTTTTTATTAAAAATTCACATTTATCATTTTTATTAATTTATATTTTATTCAAAATCCTTACAAGATAGAGCAAAATGGTTTAGATATTTACTATCAGCGGCCCAAGAATATGTAAGATTGTAACCATGAATAAATGCAAACCAGTGTAATAGATGTGCTTCAGTTGGTATGTAGTCCAAACAAGGTATACCCCACATCCTACAACTTTATTTAGGTATAGGTACATATATGTACAATTATCATACATAATTTAACATGTGTGAATTATCTAGGATAACCCAAAAAAAAGTCTGAAGGATGGGTGTTGATATGTTGCAGTGTTTTAAATGTAGCGTAGGTACGCCTCTGGCCAGACAGTGATGTAGTGAATAATGATGAAAGTGTTTCTTCTTATTTCTAGATCAGATTGCCTGTGTAGGAAACGGCCGATGTCTTATTAATAAAATAAAAAACAGTACAGGCTGGCCCCACTTTACAGCACTTTGTTTTACGGCATTTTGCTAATACAGCGATTTTCAGTTCTTCACTTATTCAGGCTGTCTACAATAAATATATTACCACTCATTATAGGCTAAGTACAAAAATATTCAAGTAATGTGTGTACTGTATATGCATTCTATAGGCCTAGCTCTATTGCTCACTTAATATATGGTAGTGTAAACATGTTATCAAGCTTTTTTATGTATTTGAAATTGAAAAAAAAAGGCTGTTTCACTTTACAGCAATTTTTGCTTTACAGCATTAGCCCAGAACCTAACCTGCTGTATAAGCGAGGCCTCATTGTATATTATACAAATGGGGTGACTAACATAATTACTTTATGCAAAACATTGTGGGCAACCTTAAAACTAAAATAGGATTACCATTCACAGGTTGGTTATGGGGTGCACAACAAAGATATCAAACTAATTTTAGTATACTACTCTACTACTTCCTGATAGTAATGACAATATCTTGAAATTTTGGAAACTGAGCGAGTAGAAATGCTCGAGGAGACAGGTCAATCACTTTCGAGGTTGGTGGAGAGAAGGTGAAGTTCTGGAGCAGTGCTGCTGAGAAGATAAACAACTCCATCCTGGCCAAAGACTCGCCCAGACACTGACGTCGACCTGGTGACAAATTTGGTTTGTGAATTTTATTATTGTACACTAGAACAAAGAGGTACAATCATATGGCTGGGATAATAAACAAATAACCTGCCAGGAAAAATAGCTTCCTCCCACAAGCCATCAGTATGAGTACATTCATCCTTGCAAATATACAGGGTCAAAAGTCAGCAACGAACAACAAAATACCTATCATCCGTGGACTGCTTACAGAGTCAAACGCAATGTTCAATTTCGCAGTTTTCACAGAGACCCACATAAAGGATCACAATGAAATATGGATCCCGGGTTACAACCTATAACCTATACAGATGCGACAGAGTGAACAGGCAAAATGGGGGGGGGAAGGGGTTTGTCCTGTATATCAGAGTCATATGCTGAAAACTACTAAACACCTCAAATGATGTTGATATTTTGGTAGTAATGATCGAGAACTGAAACCTTGTCACTGTGGTTGCACACAAGCCTCCAGATGCAACTTTCCAACAATTCCAGGAAAAGCTTTTCATAATCGACCTCTACCTGGAAAATCTTCCAGCTCCTGCCCTAAACACTTACTCATGGGAAGATTTCAACCTAAGGCACCTAAAATGGAGGAATGTAGCAGATAATGCTTTAGCAGAGCTAACACCAAGGGGCAGCTCAGATGAAAATTAGCACACACATGAACCATTAAATCTCTCTACCAAATTCACCTTAAAGCAGCAAATAAAAGAGGCAACAAGATTGGAGAATACACTGGATGAAATATTCTCTAACAAAGGCGAAGAATAACAGAGCAGCTAAAAGAAGTCAATATATCTGTAATACGAAGGGAGGCACTGGTCAGAGAAATAGCAAACATCGTGGGAACAACTATTAGACATTAATGAAATTGAAAGAAATCCAAAAACGTTTCTTTTCTTATGCTAAATCTAAGTAGAGAACAATATCCAGTATTGGGCCTCCACTTAGACGAGATGGGTCTTATACAGATTGATAGCAAGGAAATGAGTTGCTCAAATCCAAGTATGACTCAGTATTTAGAGAGCCACTTACCAGAATAAGAGTCGAAGACCTAAATGAAATTTTTATGAGCAAGACTCACAATTTGGTAGATTCAGACCTATCAGATATTATCCTAACACCACATAACTTTGAAAAGGTGATAAATTGCATGTCCACGCACAATGGCTCAGGCCCAGACTAGTAGAATCCGTGTTCATCAAGAACTACAAGAAGGCCCTATCATTTGCTTTTAACATTTTGTGGAGACGGAGCACTAAAACAGGGGTCATCCCACAACTGCTAAAACAACAAACATAGCAAAGAACTACATACCGATAGCGATAACATATATTATAAAAATCTTTGAAAGGGTTCTAAGAAGCAAGATCGCCAACCACCTAGATACCCATCAGTTACACAACCTAGAGCAACATGGGTTTAGAGCAGGTCGTTCCAACCTATCCCAGCTACTGAACAACTTTGACAAGGGTCTGTATGCTCTAGAAGACAAACAAAACGCAGATGTAGTATACAAAGACTTTGAAAAAGCCTTTAACAAGTGTGATCATGGTGAAATAGTGCACAAAATGCGTGACAAAGGAATAACAGGAAAAGTTGGTAGATGGATCTATAATTTCCTAAAAACAGAACAGAGGTGGCTACTGTTAAAAGCTCTCTTCCATAAGGCACAGTACTCGCTCCCATCCTGTTCCTCATCCTTATATCTGACATAGACAGGGATATAAGCCACAGCATTGTGTCTTCCTTTGCAGACGACACCGGAATTTGCATGACAGTGTCTTCCATTGAAGACACCGTAAGATTCCAGACTGACATCAAATAAATCTTAAATGGGCCGCAGAGAACAATATGAAATTCAATCTTCCAATCTTCAATTCCAACCACACAATAGAGCGAGAAACTAATGTAAAAGACTTGGGAGTGATCATGTCAAAGGATCTCACCTTCAAAGACAATAACATTGTATCAACGGCTTCTGCTAGAAAAATGACAGGATTGATAATGAGAACCTTGAAAACTAAAGATGCCAAGTCCATGTTGACACTCTTCAGGACGCTTGTTCTATATAGACTGGAATACTGCTGCATACTAACAGCATCTTTCAAGGCAGGTGAAATTTCTCATCTAGAAAATGTAAAGAGAACCTTCACGGCACACCTAACTGCGATAAAACACCTCAAATGCCGCGAACGCTTTAAGTTCTTAAAGCTGTACTCCCTAGAACGCAGGCGGGAGAGATACGAGATTATATACACTTGGAAAATCACTCCCAATGGAAGCAAAGACTTGGCAGACGATGCAACATCCCCCCAATGAAAAGCTGGGGTGCCACTAGCACAATAAGAGACAAAATAAGTGTCAGGGGCCCAAGACTGTTTAACTGTTTCACAGCATATATAAGGGGGATTACCAAGAGACCCTTGGCTGTCTTCAAGAAGGCACTAGACAGGTACTTGAGTCATTACCTAACCAGCCGGGCTGTGGTTCATAGGTCGGGTTGCGTGCGGCCAACAATATCAGCGTGGTTGATCAGGCCCTGATCTACCATAAGGCCTGGTCACAGACCGGGCAACGGGGACGTTGACCCCCGGAACCCTCTCCAGGTACACTACAGATAATGTCAGAGGATCTCACTTTCAAAGACAACATTGTATCAGTCGCATCTGCTGGAAAAATGACAAGATGGATAATGAGAACCTTCAAAACTAAGGATGCCAAGCCCATGATGACAGTCTTCAGGTCGTTTGCTCTATCTGGGCTGGAATATTGCTGCACACTAACAGCACCTTTCAAAGCAGGTGAAATTGCTGACCAAGAAATATAGGGAACCTTCACGGCACACACATAACTGCGATGAAACACCTAAATACAGGTAACGGTTGAATGTTCCAAGACCTGTACTCTCTAGAATGCAGGCGGTAGAGATACATGATTATACACTTAAAATCCTAGAGGGATTAGTACCAAACTTGCACACGAAAATCACTTCCAATGAGAGCAAAATATTTGGCAGGCGATGCAACATTCCCCCTATGAAGCAGGGGTGCCACTAGCACGATAAGAGACAACACAATAAGTGTCAGGGGCCCAAGACTGTTCAACTGCCTCCCAGCATACATAAGAGGGATTACCAGTAGACCCCTGGCTGTCTTGAAGAAAGCACTTGACCGGCACATAGTCAGTACCTGACCAGCCGGGATGTAGTTTATACGTCGGTTTACGTGTGGCCAACAGTAATAGCCTGGTTGATTAGGCCCTGATCCATCATGTAGCCTGGTCACAAACTGGGCCGCGGGGGCGTTGACCCCCGAAACTTTCTCCAGGTATAGGAGAGAGTAGCTTATGACCATTTACTTGGACATTTATAAGTGTCACTAATACACGAAGGTGTGTCAGTGTGTCTTGTAAATGGTCAAAGTTAGACTGAAAGGGCATTATAAGCTTCTCTCTGGTATATGTGACTTATCTATAACAAATTAGGCCACATGTACAGAAGAGAGATCTGTGTTTTTCTACCTCAATGGTTGTCTCCCACTATAGAGAAAAAAACATTTTTTTTTCCTTATAATCAAGTTCAATGATATTTAATCTACTTTCATATACATTCATTATATACTCAATATTATTTGTATACAATTAATGTCCTTAAAAACATACATGTTATTGCTTACTGTCCTTAGTATAGTTAGGCTTAAAGTTACCAGAAATGCTGGTACATAACCATAAGACTTTTCTGCGAAGGCTTCCATTGTCACTTATCCGAACTACATGTATCATGTACAATAAATTTGAAATTTGAATCTGAAAAAATTCGAATTTGCTTATTTAAACTGCTGTGCCTTTGCAAAGTGCGATGACATTCCTACTTCAGATTAATTATCATTTATTATATTTATGGCAGGAGCACCTTGTGGAACTGAAGCAATCAGACTGTTCCAATATTGGAAGGTAAACTCCATTTCCTTAAATCAAAGCCTTGACTCAGCATCATGATAAAGTGAGGACTACATTTTGGGGCCCCTGAAGGGTCACATATTTACAAAATAATGTATTATAATTTTTTGATGTGGTCCAATTTCAAGTGTAACGTTGTGGCTTTTGTTAAGGAGCAGTTTGCATACACATGTACACATGTTTGCAATGACGATCTTTGTTGAAAGTATGCAGATATTGCAAAATTGTGATTTATAAATCCCTCCCTAATCTAAAAAATTGGCAATAATGTCAATTATCTAGTCAACATCAGATGATAAGAAAGAGTTAGTTATCTATAGCAAACTTTTGTACGAGAAAATGTCAATAGATTGGCATTATAAAAATTTTTTATCTTTGTTTTTTTTTTTAGTGGGTGTGGACATTTTTGTGAAATAAGAGTCATAGAAAACAAAATTGTATATAACATATTGTGCAAAACATCATTGTGAATACTAGAATAGTTGAACAATCATTCCTATCATTTGTCTGATAACAGATATGACAGCTCTTTGAACTACCATTTTAAACCAGAAGGTGTTGCAAACACATCATGTCAATAACTCATTCCTGAGTTTTCAACTTTTGTTTGATAAAATCGTGGAATACTATATTTACACCAAATTGAGCGTGTTGCAAACCCTATCATTGTTGATAACCCAGAGTGAGCGTGTTGCAAACCCCTATCATTGTTGATAACCCAGAGTGAGCGTGTTGCAAACCCCTATCATTGTTGATAACCCAGAGTGAGCGTGTTGCAAACCCCCTATCATTGTTGATAACCCAGAGTAAGCCGTGTTGCAAACCCTATCATTGTTGATAACCCAGAGTGACGTGTTGCAAACCCCTATATTGTTGATAACCCAGAGTGAGCGTGTTGCAAACCCCTATTATTGTTGATAACCCAGAGTGAGCGTGTTGCAAACCCCTATTATTGTTGATAACCCAGAGTGAGCGTGTTGCAAACCCCTATCATTGTTGATAACCCAGAGTGACCGTGTTGCAAACCCCTATTATTGTTG